TTTTGGCGCTCTGCTTTCTTAAGTGAAAAAGACGTAAGTGGCCTTATCAACATCTGAAGTCCTTCCTTCCCAAAAGCCCTACCTGCCCAGGTGTATTTGTTTAGTAACGGTTTTAGGAAAAGTCTGACAATTTGAGGTAGTTGTGGAGAAGAAAATGAACCTCATGTTCTAGTATAAATACTTCCAAGTTGTTCTGACATGCTTTGCCCTCATCTTTTTCCATTGTGTGTCTCTCTCCCCTTTGCTATTAGGAAGGGCCACCTTCAGAGAGCCAGTTCAGCCCAGTATGATATCAGCCTGGTAGAGACAAGCAACACTGCTGCCCACCAGTGAGTACATTCAATAGGAAATGCCTGTTTTTCAGTCCTTGGTGAGATGGTGATGGCTGTTGTTGTTGTTATTATTACAAGTGGAGATTTAGATCTGTCCCAAAAAGGTTTAGCCATATGACTCTTTCTATGGGATTTTGAATAACTGCCCAATTTTACAAGGAGCTCTGGTAGCATAGGTAGTGGTTACGAATCGGGCTGCAAACTGCAAGGTCAGTAGTTCGAAACTATCAGCTGCTCTGCGGGAGAAAGAGGAGGCTTTCTGCTCCTGTAAAGATTTACAGCCTCGGAAACTCTGTTCAGGGTCGCTATGGGTCGGAACCGACTCCACAGTACTTAACAACAACAACCCGATTTTCCATTAATTTCTTATTAGCAGTGTGGCACAAGCCATACCTTTTCTTCAACATGAAATCATGTTACCTAAAATTTGAAATGACTTTGTCAGCTGTCATGTGCTACACAGAAGTAACGGAAGTAGGCTGGAACAAGGGGGAAGGAGTTCTGGTGGCACAAAGGTTAAAGTGCTTGGCTGTGAACTGCCAGCTGCTCTGTGGAAGGAAGATGTGGCAGGCTGCTTCCGTGAGGATTACAACCTTGGATAATGTAGTCCACAAAGACAGAGTTCCACATCCTGCTTTGCTGAGTAGTGACTGGGGGCTTCAAAGCTCTTGAGTGGCCATCTAAGGTGCAGTTATGGATTGCTCCCTGTTCAGATCAAAGAAGAGTGATGAAAATGGAAACAATTAGTCCTGTATTCTAAGGGACTGTGGGAACAGCCATCCGCACAACCCTGAGACCTGAAGAACCAGATGGTGCCTGGCTCCCACTCTCACTGCTCTGGAAAGAACCACATGAGAAGGTCCTGGGTAAAGTGTGAGAAAAATGTGCAACAAGTTTCAAAATCCTAACAAAGACCAGGCTTAAATGGTTGGAGAGAAGCTGGTGGAACACCCAAGACGACTACGTCTCTTTGTCCCCCTTCAGGTCTGGCAGTGAACTCACTCCCACAGCTCAGTTCTCAGCCCACACACTAAACTGGTCTGTAAGGGGAACAACAGCACTAAGGAGGTACACACACCTCAGAATAAGCAACCTTTTGAGATCAAAAGGGCAGCATTTCCAGAGGACAAAGTTCAGAAGGGTTAGGAAAGGAGGCGGCATGGAAACAGGAGATACAGGGAGGGAGAGGGACAAGTGACTAATGTGACATTAGGGGCATGGAACAAAGTGTTTGTGAATTGTGGAATGGATCTGCTCTGTAAACCTTCACCCAATTGACAACTAACAACTTACAATAAAAACTTTTAGAAAAGATTACAGCCTTGAAGACCCTACGGGGCAATTCTACTCTGTCCGTTGGGTTGCCTTGAGTCAGAATTGATTTGACAGCAGTGGGTTTGGGGTTTTGTTTGGTTGTTTGATATATGAGGAGGAAGTGGGATTTGGTCTGTGTTGATAAGCAAATCTTTGGGAAACTTACATACCAAGTAATGTTTTAACATTGAGACTTCTGCTTCTGATCAACATGTCCTTGACACTGCAGTTAGTAGTCCAGTTCCTATCCTGCATCACCACACCAGGACTCCATGTTACAAAGTGGATGACTCTATATAAAGATAAATGAGCTTGGGACTAGAGGTGGGAATACAGAGGGACTGAAAAAACGAAAGGAAAAATCTAAAATTAGACTGTGATGATTGTACAAGTGTGTAAATGTATACTTTCAAAAGGTTAGTGTGATGGCATGGACATTTGTTGTTACGTGCCATTGAGTCGATTCTGACTCATAGTGACCCTGTATTTGATTTCCGACGAGTAGCTGGTGAGTTTGAACCACTGATCTTGTAGTTTAAACCAACACTGCAGTTCATTGCTTATCCTACAGTGTCATACCAGGATTCCTGGTATGTAAATTACACCCAATAAAGTTAATCTCTCCATCACCCGTCTGTCAGTTTGTTGTCTGTCAGTGAGTTGCACTGTGGTGTTCTGCGTGGTGCTGTGATGCTGGAAGCTATGCCACTGGTATTTCAAACACCAGCATGACCACCCATGGTGGACAAGTTTCAGCTGAGCTTCCAGACTAAGACACAGACTCGTTAGAAGATGAGGCGGAACATTTCTGAATGTTTAGCCACTGGAAACCTTATGAAGAGCAGCAGAACATTGTCAGATACAGTGTCGGAAGATGAAAACATTATGAATAATTGTCAGATATAATGCCAGAAGATGAGCCCCTTAGATTGGAAGGCACTCAAAATGAGACTGGGGAAGGGCTGCCTCCTCAAAGTAGAGTTGACTGTGATGATGCAAATGGACCTTTATTTGCTAATGGGGCAGAACTCAAAATGAGGAGAAACAGCTGCAAACATCCATTAATAATTGGCACATGGGCTCTACACAATAAACAAAGAAGAAGGGTCAGTAGTTGGAAAATATGTCTGTCTCTCATACTTCACACATGTTATCAGAAGGGACCAGTCCCTGGAGAAGGCTGTTATGCTTGGTAGAGTAGAGGGTCTGTGAAAAAGAGGAAGTCACCCCAATGAGATGGATTGGCACAGTGGAAGCCACAGCAATGATGTCAAGCATAGCAATGACTGTGAGGATGACGCAGGACAGGACAGTATTTCGTTCTGTTGTGCATAGTGTCACTGTGAGTCGGAGTTGACTCAACAGCACCTAACAACAATGAAGTGAATTCTTATTGCTGTTAGAGTGATTTATTCTAACAACCTTTTCCCTCACCTGTCAGTGTCAATTTGTAATATCTTAGAAAACCCATTCCTACTACTGGCTTATTAGGACCATGATCAGCGAAAATGGGCAGTGAGGGCAGACGAGTGTGCAGAGTGTAGGTGATGTGTGAGTTAGTGTGGGGATGCTGGGGTAGTGGGGTAGCTCTTTTGTGTTCTCAGAAGGATAGTAGAGCCGAGTGCTGGCCTTCTGGGATACTTCTGAGGTAGGTCACCATGTGAGTGAGGGCATAGACATGTATAGGCAGTTGTGCATATAAAGAAAAACTGAGACGCAGAAAACATCTTAATTCTTAAATGTTTTCCACAGATCACGGAGAACACTGAAGATACATCAAAGTGAACCAAAGAATCGCTTCTCTGTTACAGATGCAGAAAATGAAACACTATAAGGTAAGAGAAATTAAGAGAGATTTAATTCTTCCTTCTTAGAGTGAAAGACAAGCTTAAATTATTGTACCATGAAACACAGCCTGTAGTTCTGCAAGTTGTCTGTCTTCTATACTGTGAATTGATTCAGGTTGGGAATCATGTCAGTACAACCTAAAGTTGCATTGGTTCAAAGATGATTTTTTCTCTAGCAAGTTAAATGTGTTGAAGTGGTTAGAAACAAGCCTTCTCACAACTAAAGAGAAAGTCTTAGCAATGTATAAACCTAAACCAAACTTGTTGCCATCGAGTTGGTTCCACCTCACAGGAACCTTCCAGAACAGAATATAACTGCTGCCCCACAGGATTTCCAAGGCTGATACTGGCACGGTAGCAGAGAGCCCCTCCTTCCCTGAATCGTCCACCTTTTGGTTAGCCGCTGAGACTTTAACATTACCGTCAGTGCTCCTTTAGCAATATACAGAGAAATATATTTTCATGTGTATTTAAAAAGATGAAAACTCGGTGATTTTCATCACAATGAGTGGCTATTAAAAAGATTCAAAACCACTCTTTTGTTGTTGTTTACTGTGTTAAGGGATCCAGGGAGGTTACAAGTGGAGATGAAAAAGCTGTGAAAATATTTCACCTTGTGTGTAAAACATTGATTCATGAAGAAGGCCATCTCTAGATCATGGTTTTAATATTGATGAAAACAGTTTCTGTTTGGAGCAATTGATTTCAAGGATCTTTATATCAAAGTAAGAAATAAAAGCCAAAAAGTTTAAAGCTGCAGAGAACAAATAA